ACTGTTGCGCCCGCCTATTACCCACTCGTGGCAAATGAATGTCGCCTGCAGGTTTTGCTCTGGCTGGACAGCCATCTGGCTTGTTGCAGGAGCCAGAGCATTTCCTGAAGTCGCACATGTCGCTAAGCGCCGGAAGTTCATCGGTACTTCACGAGGACGTCGGAGATGGCGGAGTTGTATTTTATGGACAAGGCCGAGCAAGGACCGATGATCTTGGCACACGTGATGACTATCTTAGGACACCCATGACGCTTGCCTGGCGCTGCGTATGAATTTCCAAGCATATTCGTACTGCCTGAAGAGCCACACTTTACTTGTGCGTTTTGCTTTTTAAGTTTTTTATTTGCACATCCGTTTTGCATATCTAGCTGCCGCATCCTGATGATGATCATCAATTTGGTCTGTGTTTCTGAAACAGCTTGATGCCACATCTGTTTCTGAGGAGCGTTGCGGCATGCGTTTTGTAATGCACACGGCTAATTGCTCATGGTTTTAGAATAGCTGCCCTTCTCTGGGTATGGCGGTGCCGTCTAGGTGGTCGGTGCTGTAGCCAAATCACGGAGGGCTAGAGAGAGCTGTGGCTTTCGCGTTAATCGCAGCGAACCCTCGAGCTTGTGGGTGATAGCTGTTTCATGCCGCGATGACACTTTTCACTGTCACCAAGTGCTGCTGCTTCAGCAGGCAAATTGTGCATAATCTTTGCCGTATGCGCGGCAACGACTGCTCACTCCCAGCATGCATCGCTCCATGCATTGTTAAGCCGCTCTTGTGTGCTGCGGCTTTACTTAGCATAGGCTCATCATACCTACAGGTGACCACAGTTAGCCTAGCTTGGTCAGAAGCGGTTTGCGCTACTTCCGCATTTGTCGCTCTTGTAGTGCTAGGGATAACATTTCCGCATGCCTTCCCGTCTGTCCTTTTGACTGGGCCTTGCTGCGCCTTGGACAGCCCGGCAGCTCGGTACAGCTATTCGTTTCTAATTGTGAACATGCAGAATGGTGTACTTTCTTCCACGCCAAATCAACTGCTGCTGCTACGGGGCAACGCGTACTTTCTCCACACCTGTAGCATGCATATAATTTTGTTGCCTTAGTGTAGACTGCGCTTGAAGGTGCGTAAATTCATTGCTACTTAGCGATGGCATTTGTTGTCTACTAACTATCTGGAGTATTCCTCGATTGCACTAGCCCATGACGCAGTCGCTTGAACATCCCTTTTGCAAGGGATGCCTAATGGTACGCAGGGGAGCTCGGGGATGTGTTAAAGCCTCAAAGCTTTGTGAAATTCGCTTGATGAGCCAGCCAGCGTTAGCTAAGGATAGCAGCAGTGCACTTGAGTCAGTCGCTGTTAGCTAGTTTATGTGCGAATTCCAATTTCATATTGGTAATAAGCTCCGTATGGAGTTTAGCGTGCCAAGGCTCTGGATTTCCGTTGAAGGCAGAGCCTTCGACAAAAATGTAGCGCTCTATCAGTCTGCCCAGCAAGGCCGCTGTCATTCGTGTACTTGTGACTGTGCTTTGACAGTGCTAGTGTGAAGACAAGATAGACTGCACTTACGAGGTTCTACGGATGAATATGGCACAATGTTAAAGGGAAGGAGGGCTCTTGCGTAGCCCTATCGACTTTGAAGACTGCAGTGCAGCCTAAGTGTAACCAAACATTTCGCAGGAATCTCCCAGTTTCCGTTCTCTCCTTTAGTTTATGGTTGTTGACGACGGCATTCTTGCGAGATGACGGGATGCCCGTTGCCTCCTAGGACTCGCCTACGTTGCAAAACTTGGACGAGAAGCTGACTGGTGTCCCCTCTGCTGACTCTGGATAACAGGCACTAAAGGTGCTGATCGATCTGGTTGCGCTTCGCGTCACTTGCGGCTCACAAATGTGGACAGCCTCTGCACGCGCCCCAAAAGGGAATCTCTCTCCGCTTCTGCAAGATAAGCATACACAAAAAATGCAGCTTCTGACGATTTAAATTATCCGACCTAATACTTGACAACCAAAGTGCTGGCACTACACCAAGTATCTGCAATCGCAGCTTGAAACCAACGGACAGGGATGGCCGGACCTAGTTTCATCACAGTAGTTTGTACAGCCTTTAGCAGCTGTTGTTGTTGTTTCTGCTGCTGATGCAAAAGCCTCGCGAAGTCAGCTCGCACTAGTTGCTGTGTTCCTTGAAGAAGCCGCACCCGAAGCAGGATTTCAAGGATGGCTGCCTGAAACCCTCTACAACTAGAATCTGAAACCTTGGTAAGTTCGCTCGTTTTCTGAGTGGAGGTGTATGGTGAGTATAGGGCAGCACCGGCCGCGATATTCTGGGATGAGGCTCTTTGTGGAGACGTGACTGCTGGTGATTCTTCGACCGTCGTTGTGCTGTTGGGAGATAGATGCTGCAGTAACAGAAGCGCTTTGCACACAGAGAGCTCGTACTCCAATCTTCCTTGGGTTTGTGCAGTTTCTGAGGTGAACACGCCTGGAACCACTTGCGGCTGTGGCAATCTTTCTAGTATTCCACCTTGGGCTAGTCCACTGCAACCTGACGGCGGTAACGGTCGCTGCACGGGAGACGAAAGCCCCTTTCGTGAAGTCTCCGAGGTGCCTTCAGACACTGCTTGCGCCGGACCAGAACCTGGCTCTTCTGAAGCACTATCAGGTTGCTTTAGCAAGTGACCATACGCAGCCTCGTCAGCAACGAATGATTCTTGGTGGGATAAAACGTCTGCAGCGGCCGGACGGCTTCCAGAATGTAGTCCCTGTATAGATCCGTTGTCCCCTGGCTGACTCTCTGCAAACCCAATGCCTGCACAACCAGAATTCAGGTAAAGCATACCCCTGAGGCAGCGGACTACGCACAATGATGCACGAAAGGCGTCGGCGAGGGACGTGAAAGAGCAAGGCCGTAAGTCCAACTTCTTTAGGTGAGAGAAATCGTCCAGAAATTCTGAGGAGATATGGGCTTCCCCTTTCACTGCGCCTTCGATTTCATGCACGGATTGCTGCTTGACTTCATCAGGTGTAGTGAGAGCGCTATCTAGCTTATCGTCGCCTGTGGTACCAACCACAGTCCGTTCGCTGTCTGTGTTGGAAGTAGGGGGCCAGTAAGGAGAAATAAAATGTCGCTGCTCAGCAGGTTGCAGATTGGAAGGTGCACGTTCTGAAGGTAATATTTCATCGGGAGTCGCTTTTCCACGTATAGAGCTGGTTGGTGTCTGCTGAGCTGCTGGATTGCTTGGGTCGTTGACCGAATCCATCATCAGACGGGCCGAAGTCACCGAAACTTCTCCTCCGTAAGAATCGAAGAAGAGAACAAAACAGAAGGGCCTGGAGCGTTTAAAATGGGAACTGAAAGCCTTTCTCTGACACTCGCAAGCTATTTTGAGACCCCGACGACAGCCCCGAAGTGTGTGTTTACCAGACCTTGCAATAAGCCAAAGATGCTACTAACAAGGCGCCAGAAGTCTTAAAATACCTTCTTAAAATTGTTCGCACCAGCTATTAAGCAGAGGGATTTCCCGTCTCTGGGTAAAGCAGCACTCTAGAGTCGGCCCACCATGCAGGGTCGTGCTCCCCCCATCGAAATTGACTGCTCAGGAAGGCCAGTTCAAAGTCGGACGCCTATTCCTGTAGTTGCACCTGAACATCACCTGCGTCTTGCATTTTGTAATGTACTCCACTCCCTTCGATGCACACTCATCATGACGAACAGGGAAGGGGAGCATAATATAAGGGTGGGCAACGGAACGCAGCGCAGACGGCAGAGATCGATAACAGGCACTGTACAGACAGACAAAATATATACAGGCAAACAGTGGGCAGACAAACAATGCTTTGACAGGCAGTGTGCGGACGCAAACAGTCTACAGACAGACAGTACACGCAGGTAACCAGTGTACGCACAGTGTAGAGCGAGTGGTAGTGGTTTGGTGTTAATTCTTCTAATACTTGTAGAGATGAAGTCTATCGAGCACTCCTGGTAGGCATGATGGTTCTCTAGGAAAAAATGGGCAGATGTATATATATATATATATATATATATATATATAGTTGAAGTGCACATCAGTTTTCCCTCAGGAGACAGAAAAGACGATAACCGAATACATACTTACCTGTAGTGACATAGTGACAGACCACAACCTCATCCGAGCGGCGTCCTGAGCTACAACCCAGCAAAGGGACTTACTTCGCAGCCCACAGCTATATCCAAGTAAGTGTTCATGCACCAACATGGGGCAGGCATTCCTGCATCTGGCCCCCCAACTCCTGCAAACAGCGCACACCTTCGTGTTCCTGTTTGTCCCTAAA